AACACACTTGCTAAGCATGAGCGGCCGGTGGCACGCGCTATGTGCACGGCCACTTCTATCGCCCAAACAATACTTAATCATGAAAATTCTCTCGAACAACACTGAAAGACTAATCATGAAATAACATAAAAAGGCTGGTTATATGCTTATTACTCGAGAGACTTTAACTTAAACATGAATACACTTGCTACGCACTCGCACGACCGAAAGGCCTAAGGCCGTGTTATGAACATAAATACTACGAACTAATATGCCCTTTAACATGAACAATCCAAGGTAAACGAAGTTACCTTTTACTTTCTTGCTGAACTACAAGGTACTCTCGGCGTTCGGCCCTTCGTGCAATGCTCGCGGTGCAACGTGCGGTGCGTATGTGCTAAGCTTTCTTGCGTGTGAACTAGTAAATAATCACTTAACTCCTTGCTGAATTTAGTGAACGTTTTGGAAGGAAATTATGGGGCTAAAACGTGATGAAAAATTCTCCCAAGTGCTTCCTTATATACTAAGCCGAAAGGGGGAGAATAAAATTTTGGGATGATGAAGTACTCATGTGGCTTTCTCAATTCTTCCCACTTGCCATAAAATGATAGGTTCAAAATGGTGAATCATCACCTTGGCCCTTCTTAGCATGCCACGTAAAGATCCTTAAAAGAGAAGAAACAAACTTTTCTCCCACCTTTAAAGAATGCTACGGCATTGAGGAATAAAAAGGGAACAACTACGGCTTTTGGAATTTTAAGGAAAAATTAATACAGTTTTTATTCAATTAAACTGTGGTTAATATTCCTTAATCACCCTTTATGCTTAATTAATTATTAAGCATAATACTTAATTACCAAAATTATTCCGAACGTAAACGGGACGTCGAAAATAATTCCGAGTAATCTCGACTGAAAATAATTAATTCCGACAATAATAATCGACAATGTTATTATATCGGAACTAAAATATGATTTATATTAATAAACTGACGGGATATTACAATCCTCCCTCCTTAAAAATTTCCATCCTCGGAAATTCAAAAATACATGAACAATGTACACGGAACATGAAAATATGTACATCAAAATTGAAAATCCAGAAAACGAGCTCGAATGTCAGCCTCTGCCTTCCAAGTAGCTCCGTGGCGATCCTACTGAATCCGCACGAGGGGAACATCTCGCTTCCGGAGCCGACGAACCTGACGGTCCAGTACAGCTGCCGGTCGCTCCTCGTACAATAAGTCTGGCTGAACCTGAATATCTGTATGAGGAATAACATGATCGGGATCGCACACGTACTTACGCAACATAGATGCGTGGAAAACATTATGGATGCCTGATAGCTCGGGAGGTAAGGCTAATCGGTACGTGACTTCGCCTACTCGCTCGAGAACTTCGAACGGGCCAATGAATCGAGGGTGCAACTTCCCTCTCTTCCCGAATCGAACAACTCCGCGAATAGGACGAACTCTAAGAAAAGCTGGCTCGCCAACCTCGAACTGAATGTCTCGTCGATGATGATCGGCTAAAGATTTCTGTTGACTCTGAGCTGTCTTGAGTCTCTGCTGGATCAACTAGACCTGCTCTGCCGTCTCCTCGATCATCTTTGGACCGAGGACTCGTCGCTCTCCGACGTCGTCCCAATAAAGAGGGGAACGACACTTACGACCATAAAGTGCCTCGTAAGGAGCCATCTGAATAGAAGAATGATAGCTGTTGTTGTACGCGAACTCAACATACGGCAACAACGACTCCCACTTAGCACCCTTGTCAACAACCAAAGCACGAAGCATATCCTCAAGTGTCTGAATGGTCCTCTCGGACTGACCATCTGTCTCCGGATGGTAGGCTGAACTGAACTCTAGCTTGGTGCCCATCGCCTCGTGTAAACTGTGCCAGAATCTACTGACGAATATGGGATCTCTGTCTGATACGATAGTAACGGGCACTCCGTGGAGTCGAATGATCCCACGGTTATATATCTCAGCCAACTTATCCAAAGACATCTTCATCAAAACGGGTAAGAAATGAGCGACCTTAGTCAATCTATCGACCACGACCCAAATAGCATCGTGATGTTCAGACGACCTCGGTAATCCCATAACGAAGTCCATCGTAACTTCCTCCCACTTCCACCTCGGAATCGGCAGTGATTGCAGGAGGCCGATCGGACTCTGATGTTCGGCTTTGACTTGCTGACAGGTAAAACATCTCCTGAAGAACTCAGCGACGTCCTTCTTCATTCCGCGCCACCAGAACGACCCTTTCAGGTCACGATACATCTTCGTGCTCCTGGGATGGACTAGATATGGTGCGGTATGAGCCTCTGATAATATCTTCTTCCGCAACGCCTCGACTTTTGGGACCACGATCCTGCCTCTGAACTCCAATGCTCCATCTGCACCTAACTGAAAACCCTCGACGCCTTCGGCGTGGACTTTGGCCTCCATGACTCGAACGAAATCGTCAGAAGCCTGTTCCTGCCGGATTTTCTCTCTCAGCATCGGCTGAAGCTGCATAGCACTGACATTGGCACTGACACTCCTCGAGAGAGCTGTGGGAAGTGCATCGATCGCCTGAAGCTGCATCCGGGCGAACTCCTGAATCAACGGACTTTGCTGAGTAACGACGTACGTCAAGTCACCCCTCACCTTTCGGCTTAGGGCGTCCGCAACGACGTTCGCCTTCCCCGGATGATACTGAATTGAGCAATCGTAATCCTTGACGAGCTCGAGCCAACGGCACTGTCTCATGTTAAGCTCCTTCTGCGTGAAAATGTAATGCAGGCTCTTATGATCTGTAAAAATCTCGCAACGACCACCGTAAAGATAGTGCCGCCAAATCTTAAGGGCATGAACAACTGCGGCTGACTCCAAGTCATGCGTCGGATTGTTCTGTTCGTGCGGCTATAGCTGGCGTAAAGCATAGGCAACGACCTGGCCGTCCTGCATGAGTACACATCCCAGTCCCTGCTTCGAAGCATCACTGAAAATGGTGAAACTCTGAGAAGGATCGGGAATAGTCAACACCGGGGCTGAAGTTAATCTCCTCTTGAGCTCCTCGTCAGCTGGGATAGTGGGAGGGCAATCTTAGAAAAGCCCTCTATGAACTTGCGGTAATAGCCAGCGAAACCGAGAAAACTACGAACCTCGGACGGACTCTTCGGTGTCGACCAGTTCTGAACAGCTGAGACCTTAGAAGGATCCACCTCGATACCTGCCTGAGTAATCACATGACCCAGAAAAGCTACTCGCTGGAGCCAGAATTCGCATTTGGAGAATTTGGCGTACAACTTTTCTCGTCTGAGGGTTTCGAGAACCACTCTCAGATGCTCCTCGTGCTCCTTCTGGCTCTTCGAGTAGATAAGAATATCGTCAATAAAGACAATAACAAACTGATCGAGGTAGGGATGGAAAATACGGTTCATCAGGTCCATGAAAACCGCTGGAGCATTGCTGAGGCCGAATGGCATGACAACGAACTCGTAATGGCCGTAACGAGTCCTGAAAGCGGTCTTAGCGATATCTGACTCCTTAATCTGTAGCTGGTGGTAGCCTGATCGTAAATCAATCTTTGAGGACACACAGGCTCCCCTCAACTGATCGAATAAGTCGTCGATCCTGGGAAGCGGATACTTGTTCTTGATCGTCAACCGGTTAAGATCCCGATAGTCGATACACATGCGCATAGATCCGTCCTTCTTCTTGACAAAGGGAACGGGTGCTCCCCAAGGTGACACGCTCGGTCAGATGAAACCGAGTTGTAATAACTCCTGATTCGGTGCCTTAAGCTCCTGCAACTCCTTAGGCGCCATACGGTATGGGGTTTTGGATACTGGACCGGCTCCTGGAATGAGATCAATAAAGAACTCCACCTGCCGGTTAGGCGGTCCTCCTGGAAGCTCGTCTGGGAACACGTCCACAAACTCACGAACAACTGGGACATCGTGAGGTGATCTTTCTTTCTGAGAATCATCGACAAGGCTCACCAGATAACCCTGGCAGTTGCCTCGTCGCAACAACTTGGTAGCTTTCGCCATTGAAACGACATGAGGTAATGAACGATTCTTGCTGCCAAAGAAGGTAATCGAATCGTCTCCCAGAAGATAGAGAATAATCTCCCGGTCGTGACATCTGATATCAGCATGATAAAAAGATAGCCAATCCATCCCGAGAATGAGGTCGAAGTCCCTCATCTCAAGAACATACGCGTCGGCAAATAGTGAATGACCACCGATGGAAAGGCTGAGATCTGAAGCTTTAGCTGAAGTCACTATCTTTCGTCCCGAGGCTAAACTCACCTCGAGAGGATCGATAACAGTGGTAGCGCGAACTCCGATGGCATCAAGACATAGTCGTGAAATGAAAGAATGCGTCGCTCCAGTATCGAACAAAGCAAACACAGGAATATTATTAAGCATGATCATCCCTGACATAGTATCTGGCTGCTGTTCGGCCTCGACTTGATCGACTGCGTAGACTCGGGCCTGCTGTCTGTCCCTCTGCTGCTGCTGCTGTTGTGGTGGCCTCTGAGCCTGCTGACGGGGCTGCTGTTGTGGCTGCTGAGGCTGTTGGGGCTGCTGTGCCTTCTTCGGACAACGGTTAGCAAAGTCTCCGGGCTCGTGACAGTAGTAGCATATATCCTGACCGAAACGACACTCGCCTCGGTGAAAACGTCCGCATGTGGGGCACTGTAGAACCTACTGCTGCCTATGTCGGGTCCTCCTGTCGGTCTGTGCGCCCTTCCCCTTCCTCTTCTTCTCCTTTATCGGCTGGGCAGCTGGTAGGGCTGGTGGAACTGTGGATGGCTGAACTGGGGCGGATGGCTGAGGATGATCATGGATGGCCTCCCTCCTAATGCTGGCGTCCGCCTCCTGGGCAATGGAAACTGCACGAGCGTACGTCTGGGTCCCGTGACCTACGATGTTATGGCGAACTGCTGGGTAAAGTCCGTCAATGAAGCGCTGTGCTCTCTGGGCCTCCGTGCGAACCAAGTCAGGAACAAAAGCTGCAAGTCTGGTAAATTCTCTTTCGTACTCGTCTACAGACCGAGTACCCTGTTTGAGCGACAAAAACTGACGCTCCATTTCTGCTCTGTAGTAGGTGGGGTAGTACTTCTCGCGGATTAGCTCCTTGAGCATATCCCATGTACATCCTGCCTTCTCTCCGGGACGCATGCTCCAGTAGGCATTCCACCAGAGCCGAGCATGACCGGTTAGCTGAAGTTGAGCGCAGATTACGCGATATCTGTCTGGACAATCCATGACCTCGAAAATAAACTCAATGCCCTGAATCCACTCGTCCACGATACGGGGGTCTCCATGCCCAGAAAATTTCTCAGGGTGATATTCGCGAAACTGTGCGACCACCGTGGCCTGAGAAAGAACTGGGTGATTGGGTTCCCTACAGGGCGGCATTTGAACATTGAAAAAGTTAAAATTATTGAACACATGAAAAATATTCTGACTGATTTCTAAAGTACACAGATCTCTTGACGAGTTGCCAAAAATGGCCGGAAAATACTGATATAGATCCTGAAGACGTCTAGAGTTATATCTGAGTACCCTGAATTCTAAGGTCTGATCCTGATTCGAGCATCTTAACTAAGTCATGATTAATAATTTCTGAGCATAGGCAAAATAATATGTTTATAACTGAAAACATAAATCAGCACTTACCTGTAGTCGGCGAGGAGTGAGTGTGACGGTTCAGGTTTATCTGAAAATTACTGACTGAAACAGAGACGCAGAAACGTGCTCTGATACCAATTGTAACACCCCACTATTTTACTGAAATCAGAGTACGCATTTTTTGCAAATTTTCTGAATAAACTTAATAAAATATTTATTTTGCGAAAACTGATTCGGAGTGCTACCGTGAAAATCTGACTTATATCTGAAAAAAAACCCGTTAATTTTTAAACTGATAACAAAAACGGTTTATAACGTGTTAACCGACTAACGTCGAATCAAAAGCCGAGTTTAAGTACTGAAAATGATAGCGGAAATGTATCGTGGTCAAAACATTGTTTATACATAACAAAACATAAAAAATGTCCTGAACAGCTCGTCAGCTCACTCCTCGTCCCCGACCCTATGACCTGAAAAACATGAAATAAGTGGGGTGTGAGCACTATAACACTGTGCTCCGTGGAAACTCATACTAAAGTAAAACAGTGAAAATAATAACAATATCATGATCCTGGCATATATAACTGAACTGAACTGAAACTGATAACTGATATCTGATACCGGTCTGAATAATCTGATACTGATCTCGTGACATAAGTTACATGTCTGAAACTGAACATCTGTCGGCAAAGCCGAACACCATGTGCACACTCTAGTGGGCAGATTAGGGCCACTAGAACCCAGAATGGACCAGCAACCATTCCGAGCAGATACTGAATATACATACCTCAAACATGGTAGAGTAATTATAATCAATATAGTACTTAGTCTGAGTCCCCACCTGAACTGCTGAAAATGCAGGTAGTGCTGATGCCTGATCAAACTGAAAAATAATATAAACAATTACTAAGGACTATGCTCAGACTGATAAATTAACTGATTAATTATGTTAAGATGCCCTACTCGACTTAACATGATATCTGGACTTAATCGGTATAACTGAAACCAGTTAAGTACGGAACTGAACTGATATTAATTTACTGGACTAAACTGAACCCTGAATTTTAACTGAAAAAGGTACTAAAATCAAGAACCGGGACTGAAACATAAAAATATGGACTGAACCGGTGCAGCCGGTCTGAACCGATCTGGACTGGACCGCCGGTCTGCTGAACCGATCGGTCGCGCACTGGCTCGGCCAGTAGGCCTGCCGAGGCTGCGCACGCTGGCGCTGTTCGGCCTGGCCGCTGGC